TGACATCTGAACAGTAGGGGATCCTTCCTCTTGGATAGGCAGAAAGTAATCAGTGCCATCAGAAAATCATGACAGAATAGCTATAGCTCTCATTAAATCTTACAGCAATAATGAGGCTTCAGTAAAAGGGTGAAAACAAAGTGATAATCAGAATGATGCACTATAGTTAATTATCATCACACTGCGGCAAAGAGGCTGCGCACATTGACCTGCCACTATAGAGAAATAGAAGAAGTTCCTAGATATAAAACCACTTTGGGAAATGTTGCTTATGGAAACAAAGATGATTTCAAGGTAGACCCAGCTGGCTCTAAATGAGTAGACTGTTCTTCTGGAAAAGATTCAGGAGGATTTCTGCAATTCTTTTAATAAACTCAACAGCTTTTCCTTGATAAGAGGGAGTTCTTTGATTTTTTTTCCTCCAGCACTGTTAGTTTTCACCTCCATCTCTGAATCACTGCCAATTGGCAAATAAAGCAAATACCCGGTAAATGCAGAAACCCGGTATGTAAGCTTCTTCAAGGAGGTCCTTTCTGATGACAAACTGAACTGCACATAGACTGTGTTCTTAATATGAAGGAATTAAACATAGCTCAAATGTCAGTGGAAATCTCTCTGACGTGACCATCACTAGACTCACTGTTTGCAGGCTTCGTGTGCAATTTGCTTTGGCTGCAAAGCGGGAGACTTTCAGTGGCGCAGGTTATATTCTACACCAACTATTCTAACCAAACCAGAAATCTAGCTGAAGTCTAACTGTATCTCTTGCAGTGCATTTTACATTTTAACTAGTAGTTTTAGAAAGAGCAGGGATACCCTACAAACAAAAATGCTTTCTAGACTCCTTCACAGTAACAAAAATGTCATGATTCTTTGTCTGGCTTCTGTTTCCTTTTCCTATATAAACCACTAGAGGGTATTATAAACTGTTACAAATAACCAAGATGATAGGTTAATTTTTGGATGAAATGGGAGAAGGTATTTGTGAGTAATTACTAAGCTGAGGAAATATCCTGTGATAACTCATGTTTTCATTTTTTTCAGCCTTTTCCTATCACTCCTTCAGTATTTGAATACTAATTGCAGATATTTGATCTTCAGTTTTCCTATTCAGTAGTCAGTATATGCAATTTTGTGACTGCGTTTTTTATTAAATGTTGTAGCTTGATACTGTGCAAAGCAAATCAATACAAGGAAATTCCCTTTTTCTTAAAGCATTATTTCTTCGACAGAAGTGTTAAACTTTTTTTTTCTATTCTTTTTTCATTCACTGATAAAATACAGCTAAATTTCATCAACTGAACATAAGAGCAGATATTATGCATTTTGATTTGGCAAAAATAAAACTTCGCCCCAAGAATTTGATTTTATTTGGGGTATAATGTGCCTGTCCAAAGTTATAGTACCTACTACTTTACCTGCACACATTTTGTTTAGGTAGAAAACAAAAGACGCTAACAAAGTTTAGCTCACACCAATCTAATCATTTAGCAGTACTTCATTTTTTAGGCTAATGCATAGGCTAAACCATAATAAAATTGTTTTGTTCTAGAATTGGCACTTTTATTCAAATTGACAGCTGTAAAGAACTTCCTTGTTCTTATTTATTGCAGTTACACAGAGAAAGAAACTACAGGAGAGCCTACATGTTGCTATGCCAAGCCACGATTACTATTGATGTTTTTATAGACCAAGGATGATGCTTCAGGAGCCTTGCCTTCACAAGCCTAGTGAAATGTGTTATTTTAAGCTGCACTCACATGGATTTTAGGCTGATTCGTCTTTTTTTTTTTTAAAAAAAAAAAAAAAACACCTCTGTCACCTAAATATTCCAGTCTGGTCTCTTACAGTAAGAAGCATTCCTTTTTTCCCCCGCCTTTTTTTTTTTTGAACACTGAGTCCTCTAACGCAGTAGTAGAGCATAAGACATTGAAGACAGATGGAGAATGAATTAAGAAAGCTTTAAATTATTTGTGGTCTGCAAGAGAACAGCCACACAATTCTTTCAGAACTAAGTGATCAAAAATGCAAACACTCAAACTGCTGATACATTAGAAAGCCCAGAAGAATAATAACTAAGTTTCTTGATGATTTATCTTCCTATTTCCTGCCAGCACAAATGTAAAGCTCTGTGGGCTTATTAGCTAGACTTGTAATTAGTGGACTTGTATCCTGAACTATTTCAAGCTTCTCTATTTGCAGAAGTAATTGTCATTGCTTCAGTTTTTGTTTCATAATTGCTTTCACTACTGTATTTCTTTTCCAGCTACCTACTTCCAAATCCACCATATCCTTTCCCATTTCCTCTTGTTTTAGATCAGGGTTGTTAATCTTGCAGTGGAAGCCCAACCTGTACTGGATCTGAAACAAATAAGGAGTCTTATTCTATATACCCTTGAGAGACGTTTTCTCCTCCTTCCTTAGACCCCAGCCACATGTTCAATTTATTTGGCATTCATTTCAACTGATGGGGGCAGAAGCTTCTGGCGAAAGGAGGAAGCAGCAGCTGGGCTTGGGGAAAGAGGGACAGGAACCTTCTCAAGGGAATATTCTGCCAACTGAGTTTTTTTGTCAGCAGCTGATGCACTTTAAAAGATCTCAGTTGTGCTGCAGCAACTATTCAGCCATGCTCTAAGAGGGTGGAAGATGCCAGTGTAGAGACAAAGACCAAAACCTATCCATATGTAATAAGAAGGTAAATGGGTTCCATTAAACAGCCCTAAAAATCCACACATTTCTCCACTCTTCCTAGACAAACACTAGTTGCAGGGATGTAACACATCTACGATCATTGCTAGTGGTCTAGGAAGCTGATGCCACTCTTATCCAGTGATATCAATGATCTTGAACAAGTCACTTTATCCTAATGATGGGATCCTTTACTTGGTCTGCTTCAATTACAGTGGCTGAAACTGAAGCAGAAATTACTTGAAGGGTGGACACAACCTACAGGGCTGCAGGAGGTCATAACAGGTAATTGTGATGGTTACTACCAAATTGAAAATTTTGCTGTATTTTAGAATCTTCTTTGGATGAGAAGTATTTTTTCCCACTGATTCTGCTGCTAACTTGTGGCTTTTTATAATTATTTTTAAACATTTCTTGGCACGTTTTTGCAAATTGAAGTACTATCTTCCGTTTTTTTTTTTAGCTGTGGCCATAAAGAAAATGATCCAATCCTATTTGCATGATAGAATAACACGTAACCACCTTCATTATTTTTTGTAGCCTGTCTATATGTGTTTAAGATGGGCTCTGACAGATAGGAAGTAAACTGTAAGTCTCCCTGGAAAAGAAGAATATATTTGTACCGATGTAGAGCTTCAGATGTGCCTTCACCTTGGGTCTGCTCAGTTTTGCCAGCACTGCTGGTACATGGTTAAACAGCTTTTACTTCCCACCTGGAAGATAGCTGTATTTGAGCAGCTGGTAGGGTGATACCTGAAAATACTTTAAAATCCTTTCACATTAGGTACATGGTTAAACAGCTTTTACTTCCCGCCTGGAAGATAGCTGTATTTGAGCGGCTGAAAATACTTTAAAATCCTGTCACATTAATGATAAGATTTTCCTGAATTATTTTCTTTAAACTATAGCCTGAGTAGGTGAGTCTTCTATTTTAGGTTGTTTGAGATGTGATAAATGCCCACAGAGATAAATGCTGTGCTTCTTGATCCAAACACTTCAGCTGGCACTAGCGGCCAATGCAGGGAGAAAAAAAGACTGTCCTGGAAGTGAGCTTCCAGGAAGGACAGAAAATGAAGGAAAACCCAATAAAACTGGACAAAGATGGCACATAAGGTCCAGGTGGGAACTTCAGAATAGTCACCCTAAAGCCATTTCTTCATTTGAAATGTTATTTACTTTCTGAAATGCTGCTTGATTTCACACTGCCAGACCCCTAAGCAAAATTGAGGACACAAAGTCATGGGACTGCACTAAAATCATAATGTTTGTAAAGGTCTGTGGCACGTCTGGGGAACTAGGCCTTTTCAGTGCCTTTCCTTTCCTCGTGCCCTCGCCCTGCGCAGCGGGATACGCTGGTCACTGCCACCAGCCCTCGTGAATTCACGCCAGATCACGTAGGCGTCGCTGCCAAGGCTCCTGCTCGCCCTCCCAGCGCGCCCGGCGGCCTCTCAACGCCAACTGCTCGCGCAGCCCTCGCCGAGGCCCTTCCGGAGCTTCCTTCCTCTTGGCTGCTGCAAGGCTGCCTTCCCCTCCTGCGCTGTCACCCAAGGGCTTTCGTCGCTGTTGCCCGGGTCCCATAGGGGTGCAGGGGGTGAAGCCATCCCCGCACTCCCCACAGGGCCACCTGGACCAGATTATCATGAGGGTCCCCTTTGTCCTCCTCAAAATCCATCACTAGAACAACGGCCCCTTGGCGAGGCCACCCAAGCAAGCAGGGGACAAGACGCCCGGCGCTGAGGGGATGGCAGGGGGGAAAGAGCCAAGCCGCACACAAGGGCAGGCGCTGAGGGGGGCCAGGGCCAGACAAGGAGGCTCATGGCGGCTCCCCCTCAGACATGGCGCGGGGCCGAGGCCGCCAGGGGCTGCCCCGTCCCC